TGATTACTGTATTTACACCACAGAACTCAATACTGTGATGTACAGTATATACAGTACAGTATATGCTGGCGGGCCACTGGCTCATAGAGCTCCGGCTCGGCCTGCTCCTCCTCGTCGGCGGCTGCAACCTAGGCACAGCACTGATTACTGTATTTACACCACAGAACTCAATACTGTGATGTACAGTATATACAGTACAGTATATGCTGGCGGGCCACTGGCTCATAGAGCTCCGGCTCGGCCTGCTCCTCCTCCTCCTCGTCGGCAGCTGCAACCTAGGCACAGCACTGATTACTGTATTTACACCACAGAACTCAATACTGTGATGTACAGTATATACAGTACAGTATATGCTGGCGGGCCACTGGCTCATAGAGCTCCGGCTCGGCCTGCTCCTCCTCGGCGGCTGCAGCCTGGGCACATCACTGATTGTTTACACCACAGAACTCAATACTGCACTGTACTGTACAGTATATACAGTACTGTACAGTATATGCTGGCGGGTTACAGGTTCATGGAGCTCCGGCTCGATCTGCTCAGGGTCGACGGTTGCAGCCTGGGCACATCACTGATTGTTTACACCACAGAACTCAATACTGTACTGTACTGTACAGTATATACAGTACAGTATATGCTGGCGGGTCACAGGTTCATGGAGCTCGACCTGCTCAGCCTCGGCGGTTGTAACCTGGGCACAGCACTGATTGTTTACACCACCGAACTCTACCTTCACCCAGAAACATATGCTAACTGCAGTCTTCCCCGCCATTTCGGCATTCAAGATGTGCAATAATTGCTGTACAGTCACCTGACCCTCTTCTTCTTCCGGCCACTCCTGCTCCGGCCACTCTTGATCCGCAGCTTGCTCCTGCCAGTACTGTACAGTACTGTGCTGTACGCTTTGCACATGTCATTCATTAGGCCCGTCCTCGCCATCCCCCTGCAGCGTTGTCGAGTCCTCCGGCATGAACAGTACAGTACAGCACCATACGCCACCACATCCCCCAACAATACAGTACAGTATAGTACTGTACTGTAAACACCGTCGCGTGCCTGGAAGACTTGCCGGCAGTGCTCCCGGAGAAGAGGTGCGACTTCAAAGGTATTCAGACGTTTGGGAGCCTTACTGCAAGGTCCAGTACAGTACTGCACTGTACAATACTACCACTGGCCGCATGAACCATGCACACAATTTCAATGGGCTGCACTGTACTGTATTGTACAGTACTGTACTGTAATGCACTGTCCAATACAGTACTGTACAGTGCGTACGAGAAACACACAAGCTGTCCAAGGCACACTGTTGAATCCGCCCCTCTGAATGGATGGCAGCCACAAGTCCACATCATATTGCTCACTCCTGAAATTCTCACAGGAATTGCCGCGATGCAAAGTACAGTACAGCACACAGTACACAGTACAGAACGTCCTTACAGGACAGTACAGTATATACTACTGTAGTGCTGCTGCGGAGCAGGATCAGGGCCAAAGCCAGGGCGAGGAAAGCGGAACGGTGGCGACCGGCAGTGCCTAGGAATCAGCCCACGCGATCTTGCTGCACTGTACAACAGTGCACAGCAGCCTCTTTTTGCGATCAAGTCACACATCAAGATGTAGACGAGATCTACACCAAGGTCCAGCTGGTGGCGCACGGCCTCACGCACTACCGTGCTGTACAGTACATACAGTGTACTGTAACACTGCTGCAGGACAACAAGCTGTCGTGGTCTGATGCACAGTACAGTAGAGTACAGCACAGTACTCTGGATCCAGAAATGCCGACCAAGCTGCAACCAGCTGGTGGCGCAGCAGCTCCTTGCCCTTTCTGCTGTTCAGCAACTGGACCTGGCAGTCGATGTCCTCAGGTCGCATGGGGTCATATTCTGCTGTGAGGTTTACAAGACTGTACTGTACTGTACTGTACTGTATATCGCACAGCCCCTACGAAGCATGTACTGTAATCAGTAGTAGTGAAAGGCAAAGCGCGCCCACGTCTCCGCCCCCTGGCTGATGTGGATCGCGCCACAGCATTCTGACCTAAGCACAGCACTGACTCGCAAACCTTGCCCATTCCGACAAAGATGCTTTGCACCCAGATATATGCTAACTGCGGTCCTTCCTACCCTTTCAAGACTTGCAATACTGTATAGCTAAATCCCACAAAGACGATACTTTACTGTACATTACTGTACGTGCTGCAACTGCAAGCGAGCTGCATCCTGCAGAACGAGGCAACGCCGCGGGAACCAGGATTTCAGATATCCAAGGGTTCGGTCCCCTTGGATGCGGCTGCCGCCGCGGCCGACCTGATACATCCTGTCCGCTCCGATGGCCACCAGCGTCAACTTCATGGCTGACGCAAGAAAGAGCTCCTGGATCAATCCGTCAATCCTTACTGTACTATGTCTGGACCTGGTAAGCTTCCCCGTGTTGAGTCAAATTAAGCCGCAGGCTCCACTCCTGGTGTGTACAGTAGGGATTCCTTAATATAAACCCTATTATGGGGAACCCTACCGTAATCCCTACTGCTGTGAAGGGCCTAAGGCTACAATGATTGCAAGAGATCTGAGCATCCCAGCAGTATTACATACAGTACAGTGCTGCACATGCCCTGCAGTACAGTACGGTACTGTATAAAAGTATCTGAGCATGGCATGCCCATGTGTCACGAACGGCCCTCCTGCCCTTAAGCATGAATGGCACCAGGTCACAACACCAGCAGCTCGCAGTTACGGACGCAACCCATCTACAGTACTGTGCTGCACAGGAATGCACTGTATTGTACTGTACTGTACAGCAATTCGCACTGCTCCCATTCTATCAGAACACATGTCTGGTCAGCGCCCCTCTCGGTGCCGGGCTGGCTACGCAGTCGGCGCAGGGCAGCACCACTCGGTGTCCTTAATATGCAAGTACAGCACTGTACTTACTGTACAGTAAATTGATAGAGCGCAGCGACCGCAACCCCGACGTCAGTGCGCAACACAGCACTCAACTTCAATACGTCCCGCAGAACCACACGATAACTTGGGCTCCTGGCCAGTGGAACGGCTACCGGGACGGGCCTGGGCACAGACAATACACTACTGTTCTTGCCAGGAATTTGGGCATTGCTTTGGGGGGCATTCGGAGGAGTTTGGGGGAGTCATTCACAATCCAAGCAACACTCGCAGTTCGCAGGTGCTGGCACTCATGAAGTGACATGCCACTGAACGATTGAAGTTGCTTGCTGATACCATTCTATATTGTGCAGTACGGTACATAGAAGGCAGTCACCTGCCTCCTTTCCAGCAGCTCGATGTTGCCGGGGTCCTGGAACAGGAGGCTTGCTGTTTGAATCACAACTACTGTACTGTATACTACTGCACAGCATCAGACTGCACTGCAAAGGCTTCACCGGCATGTCTCCTTGCCCACAGCATTCGAAGGCGCCGAAGTCGTAGTCGTAGTTTGTATAGTACAGCACTGACGACTGAAATGGGCAGGGGGTAAGGGGAGGGCATAGGAGGGGCAAAGGAAAGGGGAGAAGGTGCAACACAGTACAGTACTCTCCTACCCCCCAAAAAAAAGCTCACATTCCTGGCATGGACCATATGCTAACTGCGGTTCGGATATGCCCATACTGTACAGTACAGCACTGTACAGTACTGTACAGTACAGTTGCACAACACAAACAGAGGCGCAAGTTCCATCAACTCTTCTGAAGTTGTCCCCCGCTCATGCAAAACCTCCCAGAATTACCAGAACTTCCTCCGACTCACGCCCTCCCACCACCAAAAAAAGCTCACATTCCTGGCATGGACCATATGCTAACTGCGGTTCGGATATGCCCATACTGTACAGTACAGCACTGTACAGTACAGTACAGTTGCACAACACGAACAGAGGCGCAAGTTCCATCAACTCTTCTGAAGTTGTCCCCCGCTCATGCAGAACCTCCCAGAATTACCAGAACTTCCTCCGACTCACGCCCTCCCACCACCAAAAAAAGCTCACATTCCTGGCATGGACCATATGCTAACTGCGGTGCGGGATATGCTAACTGCGGTTGTTGGGACCCGGGAAAACTCATATGCTAACTGCGTTGTTTTTGGCCCGGGATGAAATTAGACAAATGACCCGGGATCCCGGGTCATTTGTCTAATTGTCTAATTGTCCCCGGGTCCATATGCTAACTGGTGTTCCGGGAGTGTAACCATCTCGAAAAGAAAACAACTGAATAAAAGGGCCGAAATCATAAAGGCAGATTTCAGCCAAAGTGGCTTGCAAAATATATCACTTTTTGCTGTAGAAAAACTCAAAACCCAAATTCAAGCGAATATAAGTTGCACTCACTCCGTAAGTATAAAAGTCAATCAACTCATATCGTATCGCATCACTCGGACCCTTCTTTTCTTTCAGGGGGCGCACCGGGTTGCCCGGCCTTAGGCCGCGGGCTAGGCGCACTGCCAACATGCCGTTCGCATGTTGGGCCAACGTAGAGCACAGCCTACGGAGTGGTGTACAACTGGAGTCGCAAGATCGGCCCCAAGCCGATCTGAAGTCTCGACGGGTGTGGTGGGAGGGTAGTCGAGACCCATCTCCCACTCTTGAGCAGCAATGTAACACGACGTGGACATTTCACAAGCTCTTCAAGGAAAATTCTTCTCTCAAGAAATCACTGCTCGAAAATACATTGCTTAAAGTGGGAGAGGCAGCACACGGGTTAGGGCATTAAGGTTTTTGAGTTTTCTTCGCTCGCCGCCACGGCGGCTCGTCACGAACGCAAAAAGGTACTAGCTGTCGTCGCAGGCTAGACAGCAAAGGTACTTTTTGCTGTAGAAAAACTCAAAACCCAAATTCAAGCGAATATAAGTTGCACTCACTCCGTAAGTATAAAAGTCAATCAACTCATATCGTATCGCATCACTCGGACCCTTCTTTTCTTTCAGGGGGCGCACCGGGTTGCCCGGCCTCCCCAGAAAGTAGCAACACGGTACGTTCCCACTCAAGACCAGAGATTACAAGTCGACCAGCGGGATGCCCGAGATGGGGCATGAGCACTTAACTCGTAATGCACCCGAATCAACAAGTGCTCTGAACTCACCGCGTGACGGGTCGTCTGAAGGATTGGATGCGGAAGGGACCCTTGTCCAGTATGTCCACGATGGACCATGTTTCTCACAGCATTCCCATGTGAGAAGCAGCTCTCGAAAGTGATCACTGTTGGACGTTCCTCGCACAAAGCTGAGAAGGACAGCGTCGTTGTCAACGAAGAAAAGGCAATACTGTCCAGACATGTACTGGTGGAAAGCCTTGCGTGCCAGGGCGACAGCGTACGCCTCAACGGGTCCGATAATATGCTTCAGATGCTGCCTCCATCGGTCTGCCAAGGCACAAGGAACTTCGCAAGAAAAGAATCGGGGCCGCGCATCAGAAGGAGAGTAAAGAATACCTCCAACGGTGTTGCCAGACTGTTCGCTTGCTCCGTCCGTGAAGATCAAAACAGGCTTAGGGGCAACCACACAAGGGACTACCCTAGGGGAACCGAAAGACAGGCGATCAATGAGAAACTCGAAAGCCTCGATCTCGCGGGGACCCAGGACAAACCGGGAGGCGTGGCGTGTGGAAGCGGCTCTCAGCTCCGCCAATGCGAGCTTTCCGGTTCTCCCCATGACTTGCGCATCGGAGAACTGGACACGACCTGCAACCCTGGCAAAAGTACGCATCTTGATGCAACCTTCACTGATGCATTCACGGATGGCATCACACACCTCACTGGATCGGCCTTCCTTGTTCCTAATCCGAATGACACTTTCCTTGGCTCCTTTCAAGTCAATCTCGACCCCAAGCATGGAGGCGACGTCTGCAAATGGGTTCAATTTGTCAAGGGATGCGGAAAAACCAAGCACTGAGGACAACACAAGCAAGGTGTCCATGGTGGAACCTGAAAGACAGCACGGGCTCATCACTGGATAATCGTCAACGAAGTTGGCCCAGAACAGGAAGACTTCCAAACCTATCCGCCACAGCAACCTAGACAACCTGCTGAAGTGGAGCACGGACGATGTGCTTCCAAAAGGCAGAGCCTTACCCTCAAACAATCCCAAGTCGCCATTATCCGGATTGAGAAGGGCAACGACGGAGAAGGCACGATGGCTCGGGTTCAACGCAAATTGGCGATAAGCGTTCTTCAAATCAAAGGTGCACAGCTCAGGACACCACGACGAACCCGCCCAAGCAGGGTGCACTCGACCAACCAACGGTGGTCCGCTGGCCATGTCCAGAAAGAATTGATGCTCCGTCGTGTGAGCTCGGATCCAAAAGCGACATATTGCAATGATCTCGTCAAGTGCCCTTAGATCTAGCTTATCCCCATAAGAAAAAGAACCATTAACTAAGTTCTCGGAGTAGTCGTCAATCGGTCTCAACTTGCGCTTGCCTCCAGAAGATTGAATCACGGCGAACCGGCGCACAGGGGCCCATGCGTCGCCGTACCTTCTCGTCAGCTCTTCTTCGGTAAGTGGTCCCTCCAAGAACCCTTCGGCAACCTCAGTCAAAGTCTTATCCCACAGTTCCGAAGAATGCTCACTCAAACCCTCGGACAAAACCTTACCCAAAAGCGCCGGACGGATGTACTTACAGGCCTTAGTAAACTCGTCAGCCGTCCTTTCCTGGGGACGAGGCTCCTTTCTAAAGACACCAGTGGGCTTCTGCCAACCAACCAAACCAAAACCCTTACAAGTATCCTCAAACCATCCATCGTCGGGCCACTTCAAGTCATCAGCAATGCGTTTGAGCAAGAGAAGCCTCTTTGATCCTAACACAGACCTCACACCAGGTTCGAGGCCCTCCTTAAGTCGGGACTCTGGTTCCTCCAATTCCCTGGCCCATTCTAACCACTTGTTGAGAGTGGCCACACGTTGCCTACCAACCCACTCAGGGCCCTTCACCAAGGCCTCATGAAGCTTTCGTTTCACTTCGTCGGGGATGACAGCAAACGTCTCGAAGGGATGCCGTAATCCTTTGGCCTCCTCCAGAAACTCATCCGGTGTTGCATACACACCAACACTAAGTTCGAAGCCACCCGACTCCCCCGTCTCCTCAGTGGCGAGAAGTTTGGAGCCTGCGGGGATGTCACCGATGGCGTGCTGCAAGCAATTTTTATGATCCACAGGCGGAATCTGTGGCACACGACATCTGCAGACGCGACCAAATTCTCTGATGAGGCTCGCACCAAGTTTACCCCGACGCTGCTGTGTGACAGGCGGAGGGCTGGACTGCAGCGGAGACAAAAGGGGGTCAAAGCCACAGTGTTTGGCCACGGCGTGGGCAACCTGCTGACAGAAAAGCCTGGGATGAGTATCAACACCGCCAGTCACAGGCGTATGACTGTGATTACCTTGGCACGCTTGTTGTAAACACTTGAGTGCACTACAAGACGTTAGCAGTTGCCTCCGCAAGCGATGCGGAGAATCGAAGGCACACAAATCGTACACCACGGTAGTGGTGTTGGTGAGCTGGCGCACAGCAGGCATATGCCACAGGAAGCTGGACTGCGGATGCTCAATGGACCAGGCGATGCCCATTTGTTGAACTCGTTTTAAGAAGGTGATGACATGTTCCAACAAGGAGTCGGCCAATGCGAGCCTTTGAACCTGAGAGGCGTCGGCGCCTCCTACAGGAACTACAGATCCATGGGACAGTCGTCGGAGGCCCTGCTTAGGTCCATAGGTGGCATACGGCAGATCAATGTGCACGTACCGAACATGATAGTTGTCAAGCACATGCGAAAGATACTGCCACGAGCTCGGCAAGGCAAGATCCAGTGAGCACAACTTGGCCAACGGAAGCCGGTGACTTCCCCTATCTATGGGCATGACCTCAAAGCCAATCTGATGAAAGGCTCGGGACAAAGAGCCTGCACGGGCAAACAGCTCGAGCACAATACCAGGCTGGTCAACCGGCTTGGCCTGAACCTGACCAGTAGACACTACGGAATCTGCTACGGGGGCTAAACCCGACTTGGAGGAAGCTAGAGGCGGGGAAGTCACTGGTTGTGCGAGGCCGAGTGGTTTTGGAAACTCATCAGTAGCACACCCCCCGGTAACGACCGGCGCTTCATAGCAAACCGGAGGTGACTGTTCGGCATCAAGAATGTCGGCTTGCATCGGGAGCTGAAATTCCAAATCGGTCAGTGTGGCACTATCAGTCTCACTAAGGTGATCAATGGCGGAGACTGAAAAAGCAACTAACACCACTCTATCACCCGACCAATTCCTAGTGGCGTGAGTCAAACGTCGAGCGGTGAAGACGGCATGACTCCCATTCAAGCTGAGTTCGACTCCACTGCGTAGTTCGCCATCAACATCGCACCAAGCTTGGCCGCCTGGTCTCTCAACCCACACCTGTCCCTGATCGAAGTCAGACAGTGCACACACAGCATTGGGCAAAGAAGAATTATGCGCATCCACATGAGGTGTGGTTTGAACGTTGCGAAAGAATGCTAAGCTCGTGAACTTTAAGCTGGGCAGCTGCTGTCGCACAAAGCGCGCGGCCAACTTTGTCACATTCGGGAAGAGCAAGACATTACGTCGCAGCCCAACCTTGACTCTGCAATAGGCACCTGTCGAGAAGGAGACCCCTTGTGATGGGTCACCTCGGACGGAAGCCTCTGTGGGGAGTGATTGGAAGATCTCAAGTAAATCAGTGGGGGAAACAACACCAGCATTGTTCAGCAGGGTCAGAGCTCGATCCTCGACCGAACCCTTGAATTCGTGATCAAAACTTGCGCTACTGATCGACTCAATTTCATCGATGGCCTTGACCTCATCAGCCTGAAGATTGGTTTGAAGTGAAACGCGTGCAATCTTGGGAGCAGGAGCCTGGGCCCCTAGTCACTCGGTATTGCGCTTTGGGCAGTTGGGGTAGAAGTGCCCGGGCTGGTAACAAAAGCAGCAAACGTGAGCACCCCTGAAGCACTTGTTGCCTGTCAATTGCCTAGTGCATTTGCCCCTCTGAGCATCAAAGCAAATGGGCACTCCTTTCGGGGTGTTTGCGTGCCCGTCCTTTAGGTCCTCTGGCATGGTCACCTCGCGGCGCGACGGTTGCTTACCCTTACCAGAACCTTTGCCCCGACCTTTGCCACGGCCATACGGAGTGGGTCTTTCAAAGGGAATCTTAGCGGGAGGAGGCGACGCGAGAGGAGCGAGCAAATGAGACACCTCGGTCAAATCGGCGCAACGCATCCACGCCTCGTCCAATGGACGACCGGTCTCCGTGACTTGCACTCCACTGCGACACTCATTAGCAGCGGTGACAAACAATTGCTTATCGGCTTGAAGCAGCTGCTGTATGCTGACTCGGGTGTATCCCGAAGGCACCTCACGATATCTGGAGTGCAACAGGCGCTCAGCCCATTTCTCATGTTCTTTGAAACCTAACAATCCGGCCTGTTCCATCGCGAGTCCTCGCCGAGTGAGGGCGAATTTCAGTAACAAGTCAGTGCTCAAGTCGGCCTCACCTCGAATGTCGGCGTTCTTGATGTGAACATTACCGCTATTGTCAACTGTGAGGGTACGATCCTCCTTGTCCCGGGAATTCCGAGTCTCATCGTCCTTGCTCATGCACCAACTCAGCGGAAGATATGTAAGGCGATTGTTTTCATACATTTGACAACACTTGTCCACTGACCTGTCACTCGGTTCATTAGGCCCGGCGATAGTCAAGCCTGGATACCGCACCACTTGACGAGCCAGACGATCTGCTCGGTCAGGAGCGGCAAGGCTCCTCGCTGGTGCATCGGTGGTGCGCTCAACCTGAGATTTAAGCTCGGCCGCGACCAAAGCAAAGGCCTCAGAGTGCAATCGGCGCAGCACCGAAAGCTCCCCCACGGTAGCATCCCTCTTCAACAAGTCCTTTATGGAAGTCACAAAAGGACCCTCATCACTCTGACCCGGAATGAAGCTGCTCACATACGCAAATTTGGCAAGAGTGTTGACGCCACCATCGACAAGCAGCTGAAGCACCTCAGCTTTCAAGCCGAGCTTCGCAGCCCGGGAGCTAAAATTGGCCTCACTCTCAGTAATACTCATGGTTCCAGCTTGAGCCGATCTGACTCTCGCGAACCCATGTGGTCCCCATCGTTGTTGATCACAACGATTTGCAAACAACTCTCTACCGACACTCACACATCGCAACGTCGCTCAAGAATTGTTTCACCTCCACTCGTGTCGAGTCACCTTCAAAATCGCGATGCCACTGACATCCCATCACCGTGACACGCAGGGCCCATGGGCACACCGCACCGATGTGAAGTGTACAATCCTTGGCGCTGGCACGGTACACTGTTGCAACAACATGTGGACAAAACGCACGGGGCCGACACGGCACACCGTGATCACGCCAGGACCGTCCCTTTCACATCATCAATGTTCTGTCGTGGCGGGGTCTCGCTGACACACCGTTGACCCGACATGTGATACGACTCGGGGCAAAATGCACACCGATGACATTCTGACGCGGGGATAGCACACCGGTCATCGACCTCGGTCGGGGCCGCAACGGCACACCGTCCTCAGTATCCCTCTGTGTCACGCTCGCAAAACACAAATCTCAGCTCTGATCCCCTCTAACCTGCTCTCCAACAGCAGGCTCGACACTGGAATCTGTTTTGACAGAGTTGAAGCACCTGGCACACACAGGGTACAGAAACGATGGAACAGCTGCCACCTTCTCGTAGTTCTTCGTGCAGGTCCTGCCGCAAGATAGAGAAGTTCCGCCCTCGTCGGCAATCAAGTGCAGCATGCGTGAAGACCGATTGCGAACCAAGTGCTCTGCCTTCAACTCGCGCTTAGGCACTTCCTCACACCAACCATCCACGACCCCGTCCAGCGCTAGCTCGAGCTCCTGACAATCGGTCTCGGCATCCTCTTCATCAAGAGACGCCTCTGAGGAAGCTTCGTAGTCGTAGCTGGCGTTGGGGTCGTCCTTCGTGGGGAAGTACCCGCTCCGGGTACTGTCCGGAACAAAAGTCCCTGACCTAATGGCCGCGAGGACTTTCTCGAGCACCCTGACCGATGCTGATACGGCATCGCGGCTGTATACTTGGGCGCTGCGGTCGCCCGGAGCCGTGTGATACCCCAACACTCTCTGATCATAGCTGTCGATGCCGAATCTGGCACACCAAGATAGACAAGTCGCTTTACATGAGTGCGTTCCAATAGGGGAACACTGAGCCTCAGAAAATCCGCACTTGCGGAGCACGTTTCTCAACCATCCAGCAGCGACCGAAGCACTCGGAGGATGACTAGCCCAGTGTCCGGTGGTCAAAATCGCAGGCAGGACGGGCAGCCCCTCTCCAACAGGGACATTCAATTCCTTTCTCAGCATGGACCACGCCTGGAACCAATCTTCGCCAGCGATACCCTTGCGTGGACACACCATCGGCAGCAGCTGAGTTTTCCTCTCAGTGGTGTAAGATGTCTTGCTGCGTGCGATGTCGGCCTGAAGGTAGCCTCCAAGCCCAGACGGGTCGACCTGCGGCTTGTCCTCGCTGACATTGTACATGTTCTGTGTATCAGACTACCTGGCCCTCATAAAAATCGAGAGCAAGAAGAATCCAGCTATGAACCGATCAATGCGATCCCCATCGGGGGAAACTACGAACCTCTCAAGTCGCTGTACCATCTCAGTCGACAACGGTGGGCGCTGGACCCTCTTCCGCTTTGTCAAGTAGCATGCCCTGGCCACACCACTCAATCTCATGCTAGCCATCGCCTCCTGAGCGCTCTCCGCTCCAAGAATGAAGAAACAAAAGGTCACCGCACTCAGGAAGCTTTTGAGGAAACTCGGCGAGCATGTATGTTCGCACTCACAAGCAAACTCGTACATGTCATCCTCCTTGAATGGAAATGCCAAGACTGCATGCCTATCAGCCCATGCCACGTATCGTATGAGCGGATCAGCCCGACTGTGCAGAGTTCCAACTGCCTTACCTGCGAACACATGTCGCAGCGACCTTGACACTTGGACCCCGACAGGTGCTAGTGACGTGACCTTCCGACCCACATCGAAAGACTGAGGGCTCCTGAGTACAAGAGCAGTCCACTTCCGAACGGCCGCCACCAGTCTCTTCTCGATCTGGTTCTCCCAAGAAATATCATGACGTACACGAGAGAATCGATGTGCAAAAGAGACAGCCGGCTGTTTGGGAACCGGAACAGAAATGTTGCTGCTCACAGGAACGAGGGGTAGTGGCCCCCTTCCCAAAGGTACACTGAAATCAAGCAAGCTATTTCGAAATTCAGGTGTCTCCCAAGGCATCCTAAAAGCCGAGCCCTGAGAAGTTCGCAAACATGTGCTGAGATGAGCATCGTAAGCAGAGTCGCTGGCCGTCCTCTGCCTCTTTGCACTTTCTTCGGATGCCATCCTTCAAGTGCTGCAGGCCACCGCTCGCCCCTAAAACTCGGCCCAAGCACTAACGCAATGGTTCTGCCTCGGGCTGCGAATCAAGAGCAGGTTGGGCACAGAAGAAGCTAGCACGGATTTGCCAGCTTGCGTGAAGAATTTGCAGGCGCTCAACAGAGGAAAGGCAGGCCCAAATCAAGCTGGCAATATCTCTCAGCTGAATTGTCCTGGCCAAAGCGGCCTGCATGGCTGGGCCCACCTCTATAGTCGAGACCCATCTCCCACTTGAGCCAAAATGTACACTTTTCCTTTCCGAACGCAGAGTCAGACGGCGGAGCTGTCGTACAAACTCGGCACAAAGCTAACTCTTTGCGGGGCGACACTTGGACAGGCACTTTGAGTGCCCGGCTGCGAGCAGCTGCTATGCATCCGTGTCTGCCGGTCCGTAGACCAAAGCACAGACTGCTGGCATTCAGCAGTACGTAAGATCATTCGTCCCGAAGAACAGCGATGATCACAACTAGAAAAGAACGTGTGCTACGGAAAACATGGTGAAGTAATGCCCCCGTCATTCGTGTTACAATCGGCGTCCCAACTGCAACGATGCAAGCAACGGTGGCCGTAGCAGTGCCCGACACCAATAGCAGCCTCCTGCGTCCAGCGAGGACTGCTAACCGAAGCTCGCAATGAGTCGTAGGGCATATCTGTGGCTAGATTGCGAAATTCTCACGGTACACCAACTCATGAGAGACAGTGTATACTCAAGCATAGCGCAGGTCAGGAAAGCCATCGGTAACGATGGTTTCAGAAATGTCCCCTGGCCTCAAGTCAAGAAGTGGAGCATTGAATCCCATGTCACACAGAAAGCTGTAGTGCTCTGCGCTCAAACGTTGGATTCCTCGCAGGCAGTAGGCAATGCAAACAATGCGACGATCCTCGGAAACTTCGGCACAATGCGAGAGATTGTGAGCATCAAATGCAATGGGCCCCATGGTGAAATCAGCCCTGGTAGCTCTTCGAGTCTCCCCAGCAATGGTGACCCATGGAGCTTCAGGAGATTCTATATACAGCGCACCTTGTCGGAAGAAAGTGAGAGGAATGACCAAATTCAATCCAGATGCGTTGTTCCGGTCACGATGCCAGCTGTAAGTGGAGCCCTCCACAACTGTAAAACTGGTGAAGTAATGCTCCGGCCATACATCACGGATCGTGGCACAAACCAGTCGCACGAAGTCAGGATGATGAATGGTGTTAAGTCGTACACTGGACCGGCCCATGGTGCACATGCCAGCAGTGAAGGATTTAATCACCTGATTTCGAAGTGAGCTGCAATGCGTTGAATCATACGGTATGGCATCGAAGATCGACACCAGCTCAGCAGTTCGCGACTGTGCCTGAAGAGGACTCCTGGGAATCAATGGCTCATCGTCATCATCATCATCGTCGTCGTGACAATCCGGATGTGCAAGCCCAAGTATGCTCGGCAGCTCTAGCTGCCATAACTCAGGTGCAACATCAGGCGGCCTTGTAGGGAACATAAGCGCTGCCCGAGAAAGAAAGCTCACAATCCGCAGAAATGCATGTGCAGCACAGTGGTGAACACTCGAGAAAACATGATTGCACTTGAATTAACTGCTAGCGCCTGCAACGACTCTTTGTCGGGATGCGGCGCGCTTCGCAAGAGGTGCTCAATCTAAGCGTACGGCGCCTATGAGGTAGGCTCCGGTGGACAGGTGCTGAAGGTCTTGGGGTTTAGGCTTACGGGGTTTACAACCATCATCTGTGACATGAAGTTGGTACCCGGATGCTCTGCCCTCAGCCGCCCGCAAGGTGCACAAAACTGTCTGGTAATGACCTGCATGGATGGTGGGTCCACAGTGGTAAATCATACCGGCAACTCTGTATCGCACGCGTATGATGCTGTGTGCATCGTCGAAACACGGCATGGTGATGACTTGGCCTGCCTCAATCAAAAGCGGTGCATCATATTTGCGAAGTGGATCCTCCGGGTCAAAACGCGAAATTTGCAGTAAGAGCAATGCGGGCTGCACACGCAGTGCCTGGATGAAGCGCACAGCCTGCTCATGCCAGTAATCAATGCAGGCCTGAAGATCTGTACGTAGCTCAAGTCGAATAGGCAAAACACCTGAGTCACTCAAGATCCGTTCATAGGTTCTGGCCTCCCAAGTGCCCCGGAAAGCTGGGATGTCTGCTTGGCGTAGCAAAAACTCGGCAAATGCTACTGCATCCTGCTGCGCATGAAGGTCAGTTTGCATTTCACGAAACCACTGCCGGATCACGGTCTGCCAAGGAAGGCAGTTGGTGATGGTGAGTTTTAGGCCAGCCTTGATGGTCCCAAAAGCCGTTTTCATCACGCCGTATGGCGACGGCAGGTCCATCGCAAATGCCTGCACAAGCCATGAAAATAGAGTGATGACGGAGTTCATGTAACAGATCTGTCCTGGATTGAACAACACTGGACATGCAGGTGTACCTGTTGGCCATGCATTCAAAGCTCGCCCTCCGGCTGGCGGTCTCGATTGGATGATTTCAGGAGCTCGGCTGCAACGTCCTCCAGCGTCAGCGCCAATGGCTGACGGCGTTGGCGATGAGGACGGAGTCGCGCCCCGATGAGCCGCAGTGCACTCAGGTCGGAGATCTTTTGAAAGAGATTGTAGAGGTCTTGCGCCTTCTCGCCTCGATTGCTGATCATGAGCATAAACGGGAGCACATTGGATTGATATTCGGCAGCCTGGGGTCGCGTGCTGTGAAACTTTTGAACAAGGAGGGACGGAACTAGCTGGATGATCTTCTGGATGACCTCTATGGCCTCCTGATGCGGCACGCCGACCTTGGCCGCGTCCACGACCGCGGCTTCGGTCGTCGGATCCCACTTTTGGTAATTCCAGGTCGCTGGGTCGGAGGTGCTGATCCACTGATGCTTGGCGAGCACTTCGCGTTTTTCTGCCAGCAGGGCCATGTTCATGCGCTCCCGAAGCTCCATGAACAGTGCCGTCAGAAGAGTGACCCGAAGACTTTGCGTGAGCAGCTCCGGGGTGTCCCGCTTTTTGGTCTGCCAAGCTTGTGTGATCTGGTACAGATTGGTCGTGATGGAGAGGTCGCCGGATGTGTCCAGATACATCATGAAGCAGCTGTCCGCCTGCACTGCTGCCAAGATGTCCTCGTGTTTGAGGGCCAGTCGGGTTAGGATGGCTAGGAGCTCCGCTATGGTTTCCTCGCTCAGTGTCTCCTGCGACTGCTGCTGTTGGGGTCCCGTGGCCCTGGTCTGGGCCGGCTTGCGACCTCCCAATCCCTTGCCTCGAACTCCCTTGGCTCGATCGGTCTTGAGGAACTTCGACTTCTCCGGGCTTGAGTCCGGATCCCTGCGCTGCGATTTGGCTGCTGCAATGGCCGGCATCGAGGAACCGAAGACGTTGGCCACCTCCCTCTCCGCCAGAGTGGGCTCCATGCTGTGCCTGAACAATCACGTGTAATAGGCAAGCCTGGTAATATGCTGGGCATTTGGGAGTGTGTAAGGCGCCAGCTTGGTTGCCCGAAGGTTCAAACGCACAAGCCCGACAACGTCCTTTGTATTTGAGCCGGTAATGTTGTTTCAGACGGAAGAGAACGTCTTCGTTACGATGCCAATGCTCAGGGTGAGTGCGGCGGATATGTTGCTTGACTCCGCCACCTTTTGCGCACCACTGCGTGCAGAACATGCAGGTGTCCTTAAGCTGATGTCCAAGCGCTTCTGCAAATGAAACCCAATCCGCACCAGCAGCTTGTCGATGCTCCGAAATGTTGGCAACAGCTGAGGCAGTAGGGTCATCAGGACCTTGAGCAGAAACTGGGGTCGAATCAGCAGGGTTCGGGGTTGAGGCAGTCGAAGCAGCTGGTGCTTGTGGCAACGTGAGCTCAGGGACTGAGTCAACTTGACGAGTGGCAATGCCGCTCCAGACACTGCAAGCATTCAGGATGTGGTCTCGAAGGCCAGCCCACTTCTTAAAAGGCTTTTTGCAGTGGCGACATGTGGGCATGCCGCCCATACTGTGCTTACGAGGATCAAGCGTTTGACTCATGGCAGTGCCTGGCTGAACAGTAAAGATCATAGAATGCTTCTGCGTGGCATGTGCACGCATGGCATGCTGGGTGTCAAAGTAGACGCCGCAGACCGGGCACGGAACCCCCTCTGACACAGTCTGAGTCAGTGTAGTTGACTGACTGAGTTGTATGCATTCTTTAAGTTCGTCAAGCTTTTTCACTTGCCAATTACGCAGGTCCCCTTTCCACGGAAACTGATACGGCTTCTGAAAAGAGTCAACGCTGCTCTGTGCACGGGCAAGCAGCGCGTCTTGCAAAGAAGTGAGACCAAGCCTCGCGTAAAGGTCCTGCGTTCTCTCATGCGTCAAATGCGCTGGGGCCCTGGCTAACCTTCTGACGTGCTTGGCTTCGAATCTCTGCATAAGGCGAAGGCTTTTAGCAGTGACTCCGATTGACGGGATGCCATACAGCAGGGACGCTCTAACACAAGTCATGAACAAGCGCAGACGCAGCCTCAAGCTGAGTCCATGTTGCGTGAATAAGTGCCTTGCCAGCCTGGACACATTCGCTTGAGCACTGCTAATGCGGTGCTCAGCAGATTGATCTTCGAAGGCAGCGTAAGAGATCACGGCCCCTAAGTAAGTCATCTGATCACAAAGAGGCAGATACAGCGTGTCAAAAGGTGTGCGTAGGGCCAGGCACTTGACCCCTTTGTGGGTGACGGTGTGTTTGCTCAGCCACTTTTTCAACGGAACTCCCGCAGCCTTGATGTGAAGCTTAGATTTTTCGGGATTAACAGTCATACAGGCCTCACCCAAAGTTTCGAAAAGGTACCGGATGTTTGTGGCGAGGGCTTGCACGTCAGTCATGTCACGCAGGATAAATTTCGAGATAAAATCATCAGCGAAAAGCACTAGACTGTCACGAGCTGTTGTCCCTGCCTTGAGGCTAAACCTGTGCAGCATGTAATGAGTGATGCAGACCCATAACAGCGGCGAGAGCGTGCACCCCTGCCTTATGCCGTTGCAAATATCAAAGCACGAAGATTCTTGCCCGTGTTGCACATGATACGTAGCTCTGTGTATGGATAAAATGAGCGTGATCATGTCTGGGTCAACGCTCAAGAATTCGAGTGCTGCTCGCAAATACTGGTGGCTGACCTGATCGAAAGCCAGACTCAGATCGACTGACAGCATTGCAGCACCCATGATGCTAGCAGTTTTGCCTAGTTTGCGATCTCTGACCTCGATCCGAGAGCTGATCAAATGTGAGCGAACATGCTGACAATGACTTGCGATCAAAGACAGCGCCGTATGCGTGCTCCGACCTGGAAGGTATGCAAACTGTGCAGCGTTGTCCAGTGCAGGCAATATGTGCTCAAGAAGCCGTCTTTGTATAACACGTGCAAGACATTTACCCAGTGGGCATTGCAGAGCGATAGGTCTGAGGCTGGATGGAATTTTCGTGGGTTTAGCGGGTTTAGGGAGCAGAAACAAGTGGCAGTCCGTCCATGTGGACGGCAGGTTCAGTCTACCCTGAAGTTGTTGTGCAAAAAGTCGTCGTATGTGAGGTAGAAGCTCTGGCATGCAAACCTTCCATACCTCCGGCGGCACAGCCCCAGTTGGAACAGCCTTTCCAGTGGCAAGTTTGCTGATGCTGTTCTGAACTTCAACGTCACTGATTGCAAACTGCTGGGTCAACTGAAGGTCGGAGGGAGCTACATGTGCATCCCGACAAAAGACACCTTTGAAATACTTCAAAATCTCCTGAAGTTCATCGCGCTCACTAAGGATGCGGCCATCGGGACTGCGAATTTGGATGCGTTCTTTGGGGGATTTCGGGGCAAGTCGGCGAATCTCTTGAAACAACTTATACATGTCCCCGACAGCAGCTGCAGCCTCAGCCCTATGCAATGAAGTCAAAAGCAGTTGTTTGCGACGCTCACGGCCACGCTTACGCAACACCTTTTGGCAAACCTGCAGTCTGGCATGTGCTCTAAGGATCCGGAAAGCTTGCGTGAGCCTGGAGCGTAAGCCTACAGCTATGCGCTCGCGCCTAATCGCCTTCAGCGCACTGTGATGGCGCCACAGCGCTTTGACGTCATGGTGGGAGTCAGGTTGTTGCCACGGCTTGAGGTCTTTAGCAGTGCGCTGCACAGGGAACAAGGCACAGCACGAGTCATGCAACAGTTGATTCAGCCTCTCAGCCGTAGGCTCCGAAGTCTCCTGCAGTCGCCGGCTGACTTCTTGTGTAAGCTGTCGGCACAAAGAGGATTGAGGCTGGCGCAAGGCTTCACGAATCGCCATGCGGCTGAAGCTGACAGGTTTGGGAGCGCTTTTTGGAGAAAAGTGTTGATGGAGCTTAATGCTGGCCTGCACTGCATGATGCCTGCCTCCGCCTCTCCACGGTGAGAACCAGATTTTGGGCCTGGTGCGCGCCGTGCGCGCTGTGGCATCGGCTGAAGCTTGTCCGGTCAAAATGTAGTCAATCTGCGCACTCCTTGCCTGTTCGCCTGTCTGAAGGTATGTGGGGACGGCTGCCGCCCTGGTCCAGGTGTTTAAGGCACACAAGTGGTGTGTTTCCAAAAGCGTGCCAAAATCGTCGACATCTGGGTAGCCAGCAGTGTTGCGATGCAAATGCTGGCCTACACAGTGGGGCCGCTCACGCAATGAGCAGTTGAAGTCGCCAGCAATGCATTTGCAATTGCGCTGTGGCAGAGACCGCAGAAGAGAGTCCAGGCGTTGCCAGACGACCTGGCGCTTGGCAGCTCGCTGTTTCTCTGGGTCAGCATCCCACGCCCACTGATAGACACAAATCAGATCAAGGTGGGAGGCTTGCCTGCCGCTGCCGATCGGAACTCGGATGTGCAGAAGCCTTCCGGCCACATGCACCTGATGACGCACCTGAGTGCTGGTGGCCACCTTTGTCGAGATGAGAACGGCCACTCCTGCATAACGACTCTGAGGGTCGGGACTGCTGACGAATGTGTAGCCAGGAATGAGCCACTCCGAAAACTGTTTGCCTAGGCCATAGTGTGTTTCTTGCAACATAATGACGTCGTACTCTTTACCCTCCCCGGAAAGCCAAGTCATGAAAGTGTCATATGTCATGCTGTCCATGCTACCAAGATTCAAGCTCAAAACACGGAGTCGCTGACCCTTGGATGCCCTGGCAGACTCAGTCGGCTGATGCGCTGGTTTAGGGCAACCTATGTCTCGAGCATGCACCCAGCGGCCTCGATAAAATGTGCGGCCATCAGAGGCCTGCATGGCACGACGCTGTGCTCGAATGAGCGCTCTCTTGCGAAAACGCGGGCAAGGCTGCTGCCTGTCGGCCCTTCCGCATGACTTCGCCACTGTCGTGACAAGCTCAGAGCCTGAATCGGCTCTCGGAGTGCGTGCGGTGCACACTCCAACCCTCGCATCTGTGGAGCTAGCTGCTGCGACAGCCAATGTTGAGGGCACGGCTCCACCCGGGGACTTGGGACCCCGGCGGCCCAGCACATGCGTGCTGGCGGTGCTAGAATGCAGACTCTGCTCTGTGCTCTGTTGCTGATGCAATCCAGGCGGTGGGTTCAAGCAAGCGTGAAGTGAAATGTTCATGAAAATCGCAAGCGAGAAAGTGCAAAATGCAGTGTGGAATGCCGTGAATGCAACCATGAGAGCTCTACGCGACTCAGAGCACCAATGCCCGCAAAGCCTGGGTGGTGTTGAGTATCTGCAGCTACCCCGCCAGCAAACTTCTACAAACAGCTCGGGCCGAGATGCTTCAAAATGTACACTTTGGTGGACGAGTCCACCCCGCGTGATTTCCAGCAAGCCAGCCCACCAATCCCACCCAGGGACGTATGTCCCTCAAATTGAATCGATCCACCAATATTGATTGGCAAGATATAAATGGATTATGTCCAAAATGTTAATCCAATATGATTTGCGAAATTATCAAGGAGTATAATCAAGCTGCGAACAAACTGAGACACGATGTTTTGACCTCGTCACGAGGAGATGCCTGCGATGGCCGATGGGGCATCCAACCTTTGTCGGATGCACAGCCGATGCGAACCGCAACGACTGATCCCCAAGCAACGCTGACGGGAGCAAGGCTATGCCCACGGGTCTGTGTCTCGAAGCCTCTCGCCTTTCTTGAGCTTTGCAGCCCTTTTCCCTCGCAGCTCACCCAATCGGCCCTATTCAAGGATATCCCGACCGTCCGCTGGGCCACACAAAGCGAATAGCCGATCCAAGTGTGCTCCCCGCCTCCAGAAGACTTGTGCCAGGCAAAAGGAACTCCCAATACCGAAAGCAGCAGAATGGAGGCCAGTATACGAAGAAGGCCATCCGAAGACTGGGTTATCCACAGCAAGTCGTCGACATAAGAGAGAAGTGTCGTCTCATCCTTTCCGTGGCAGTAATACAGTAGACGACCCAAACCAGACATGAGACGGAACCACCAGTAACTCGCAGAAGAAACTCCGAAAGTCCCCACTGTATTGAGGTATATGTCACCATGACGGCGCGCCCGGCAGCCTTGCCGTGGCCAGTCAGCCTCCCGTACTTTTGACAACCTGTGTGCACGGGATACATCACCACTGAGGCTGAAGGTGGCGAATGGCAGAGAATGTAGGGCTTCCTCGAGGTCCGCTCCCGAGGGGTACGACTGGCCGTCCCTGACACGAATAGAATCATTGACGTGCTGACCGTGAGTTGCATCGTGCACAACCCGCACGGAACCATCCCCTTTGGGGATGCAGCCCAACGAAGCCACGTTCAGTTGATCACCGAACCGATCACGCGCCTCGCACAAGCTCATCTTCACCACGGCACCCATGGCAATCTCCTTCTCAAACTGTTGCTCAACCTTGGCCTCGTAGCCTTCCACAGATTTATAATTGTCCCGGAGCTCCTCGCATTCATGTGCACCCAGACCAGTAAAGTCCCGATGACGACGCTTTCGTTCAAAGAGAGCGGGGTTCCGGGGCATACGGAAGTCCACCCCGAGCGGAACACCATTTGCAAAGGAATGCGTAGCCTCGGTATATTGCCTCCAGTCAGGATCCCCAGCAAATTTCGGAGATTGCATGCAAGAAAAAGGGCTGTCTCTCCGGCACTGATTCCAGAGGAGCGGTAGAGCCCTGTTCACGAATCGTCTTGAAGACTAGCGCCCTTGCCTGCTCCAAGAATGTGGCCGGAAAGGGAGAAGACGTACACTTGCCCGTGGCCAAGAAACAAACCACCCTCTTGTAGTCCAGATTTTCAGTAACGAACAAAAGCAGCCGATCCATCAAGACCTTGTGGAAAGTGAGCTCCGGCACCAGATCCGCGCATGGACGCGCATGTGGCGGCCATCTCCCCGGCGAAGCCAGACCATGCTCATCGGAGAAGAGCTTCATATCCAAGCCGCCCAGCACCCCTCTTTGGTTTTACGATGCCGTCTTCATCCTCTTCGGAAGTCGAGCCCTCCGGATCCTGCACCCAATGACTCTTAGAGGCCGACTGGCGCCACCATTCCAGAGGCCCATCGTCGTTCAGGTTTGCCCCATCAGCCGCCCGTTTCAAGCCCGGAAGCCTGGTAGTGGCCTCCGAGGAAGCAGGACCAGTATCATCCGCCACAGGTTTCACTGCCGATGGCCCGGCAGCAGATGAAGAAGGAGCTGGGCCAGGGTCGTCCTTCATAGTCGATGGTCCAGCGGCAGATGCCGTAGAATCCGTAGAAGAAAGGTCAGCATCCGCATCCTTAGCCGCATGTTTAAGTCCCGAAAATCCCGCAACCGATGAGGAATGGCCCGCGTCCTTAGCAGCATGCTTGACTCCCGAACATCCGGCAGCCAATGCCGGAAAATGGCCAGCGTCCTTAGCAGCATGTTTGACTCCCGAACATTCGGCAGCCAATGCCGGAGAAGAACCAGAAGAAGGATCCTCGACCACTTCGCCCGTGGCGACCACGTCCCCCGAGGAACTCGACGAAGAAGAAGGAGTCGAGGCCAACAAAGACTGTGCGAGGGCTCTGCAGAGCCTTTCACCATATGCAGCGGTGGGTGTGGTTCGGAATTTGCCGGAAGAATCTTTTCCCACCAGTGGCTCATGTTGATGCCCGCATTTCTTCGGCAAAGGCCCCACGTAACGACGAGCTTCGAAGCGAGGCCAGCCCGAAAATCCGAGAGCCGGAAGGTTTGCCCATGTGCCCGTGAGCCTCGTAGGCTTGCGAAAATCAGACCCAAAAGCGCACTGATAAAGAGCCACTGTGGATGCCTGGAGTCGTTCAAAGAGGGAGCGGGACTCCAGCCAACTCCAGACAGATGCTGGCGTGCCTCGAGGCGTAGGCCCGAGGTCCTCGGATGTTCCCACAACCAGTGTAGCTTGAGCTCATGTGCCATGGTCACCACCTGAAGGCAGCGTCGGATGAGCTCGGTGCCCTGCTGAACCTTGATTTTATCAGCCCCCTTTAACCAAGGAAACCCTTCAGGCCAGTCGGCGCTGCGCAACGGTGCAGGGCCATGACCATTGGCCCACGGTGCGCGCGAGTAGGTTTCGCAAGGTGGGCTCAGAAAAATGTGTGTAAAGTCACCGTTCTTGATCCTCCTTAGGAGGGACAACCAAGTATCATCAGCCAGGAGATCATGCCCCCGAACCAGATCAAATTCTTCCACTGTCACTGAAACAGATGCAGACTGTGCCAACTCATGCAATGCAGAACTGAGATCGCCTTTGCGAGGAGCGCCTGCAAACAAATATATGGCAAAATGCCCTGCATGTGTGGCCGCTGTCGAATTCGATTCCTCGACTGAGGCCGAAAGTCAGTCAGTGGCTGGCGGTGGTGTAACCACCGCCCCGGCCTGCCGCTTGACGTGTTTGCACGAAAAATATGGATGTTTCCCTTGGCACCTTTGGCAAATGTGAAGGAAGCGGCATGCTTGATCCTGGCAACCGCCTCGGCGATTGTATTTCCAGCAAATCGGCGTACCATCCGTAGCCTTGGTCAACTTGCCTCGTGCAATGCTCTGACTGTCGGATGGCGGTTGCTTGCCTTTGCCCTTTCCTTTGCGGGGCCTGCCAGGTGCGTCACCAGGAAGCTGAGGAGGCGGCACGTTCGCTGCGGCCCAGCCGGTGTCTTTGGTGTTAAGGGAAAACGGAATGACAAAGTAGCGATTGAGCAACTCTACATCCGAGATGGCCTTTTCGTAACCATCCGCCAGAGTCGCAACCTTGCCATCGCGCAGCCACTTGCAGACAGCTTTCCTGCACTCATGTTCGAACGCCAGCACAAGATTCCAAGGCGGAGTACGATTTCCCGCCACAAGGCCAGCCACCTGGGTGCCTAGAATAAAATCCGAAAAGCGGCGCAGGCTGTCTGTCATGTTGGGAGAAATCCATGCCCGATTGGAATGCTTAGTAGCCAACATATCCCAAGATAGGCCGATACGCCTGTGGCGCAAGCGCAGCTCTTCGGGAGTAGAAGGTGCCGCCACGCTGTGCTTTCCACTTTTAATCTTGAGAGTGTTTGTGACAGGATCAATCTTTGCTTCGAAGGATTCTGTTTCAGCGTCTTCCACAGACGCCACCTCGGTCAGCATTTCCACGATCGGCATGTTGGATTCAATCATTTCGCTGCCAGAACCTGTTTTGCGGGCACTTCGCGATCCTTGAGTGAACCCAGGACACTCTCCACGGCCATGCGCATGGCTTGATGTTCTGTCGGCTGGAGCAGCCTTTGCTGAGTGCCCAAGCGAGCCTCGGCACGATTGCGCTGTGTTGCCTCAGTCTGGAGTTTGGCAGCCTCCCAGGCGACCAAGAGCTTGGCCATTTCAAGCCGGTTTGCAGCTGAGGCATCGACATCAATAGGAATCAGTGTCGCTAATGCCTCGCGTGCCTAGGCCCTGGTCTCATCAAGACCCGCGAAAAGAGGCACTGACACCACTTCCAGATGTCCTAGTTGCGCTTGGCTCGGAAGAGACACCCCGGCCTCTTGCAGAATGAAAAGGGGATCTGAAGAAAGCTTCGCCAGATCCGCGGTTTGAGCTGCTGTCAGCCCAGCCATGCTTACGCGCGGTGCCATCTGACACAACGCATCAACGGGCATCTTCTTTCCACCTGCTGCCCTAGGTGACTCGAACCGTGATTTG